CCAACACAAACAATCATAAACCAGGTTGGTAATGTTTTGAGCTCATTTGATCCTCACCCACCTAGCATTACCAGGTTAAAATCTGAACAAACCCGTGTAAGTCTAGCTCTTTCTCATGAGAAAAGCTGGTAAAGGAGAAACTTCACCCTAAATAACAGATAAAAACAATCCCAGCTTTCCAAGTCATCTAGATCTCATTATGTATCAGAAGTGATGCAATAGTGATTAAAACTCAAGAATTAAAAGGGTCTAGGAGAAAGTGTGTATGGCCATAAAATTTTAAATTTGAGTTTATCCAGAGTTTACAACACTCTCTTAGAAACCCTACATTGTTTCCATTAATTCATTTGGGCAAAAGAAAAAAGAACAAAGGTCAAAATTAAGTCAACAGAAAAGTGCTGCTGGTGAGGCAAGGTTCCTGGTCCTGAAATCAAGTGGTAGTGGAATTTAACGCAGGAAATGTAGAACAATATTCAGTGGTGGAAGATGGCATGGCCAGAAGATTCACTGAGAAATGCCGAAATGATTCACCAGTGCACGAAATATACAGTACAAACACCTATGGTGTTAGCATGGCTATACTATGTTGGAAATCACATATATTTCCTATTAAAGATTAAGAGTTATGAATTATCTGGTTTTAGTTGAAATCAATACTGCTTCAAAAATATCCCAGAGATGGTGGCAGACACCCATAATCCCAGAATGCTGGAGGCAGAGTCAGGTGGATCTGTATTATTTCAAGGACAACCTGGTCTATGCAGTGAGTTCTAATCCAGCCAGGGCTACCTAGTGAGACCCTGTCTCAAAAAAAAAAAAAAAAAAAAAAAAAAAACTATGGAGTGCAAATACGTGAGGACTTTGCAAACTTGTGAGAGAAGATAACTTAGCAAATATGACAGCTACCCATTATTTTTGAACAGAACAACAATCACTGTGCATGAGAAATCTATTTAAAAATAATTTATACCAAAAATCCAGTTTTCACATCAATTCTAGCACTTGGGAATTGGAGCTTAGAAAATTGCTGCATCATATGATAAAACAATTTCTACATATTTCTCTGGCAAGTCACATTTAGAGTCAGACAGCCCTATCAGAAACAGCTACCTATTTACTAACTTCTCACCAGTTCTGTTCAATTACTCCTTAAGTGTAAAAATATTTGAAAAGAAAATAAAAGGACTATCAATTGAATTTCAGATAATTGTTTCTTTGTAAGTAAAGATATATCAACGTATACTATTTTTTTTAACAACCATAAACCCAAAATTAGTCACTTTAATCTGTATATGTTAATGGAAGCTGAGCTCAGCTTCTAGTCTAAGAGCATTTTAGCTATGGCTTGCTGTAGTATGTACTCCAATCCTTTTCTCTTATTCTAGAAGCAATAATTCCATCTTTTCAGGGGCTATGTTTATTCACTACAGCAGCAAAACAATATTGTTCTTTCAACATTGGCCATTTTTTGAAACTGGAGAGATGCTTCAGTGGTTAAGAGAACTTGCTGCTCTTTCAGAGAACCAGAGATTTCTTCCCAGTATCCACATCAGATTGCTCACAACCACTTGCAATTCCTGCTCCAGCTAATCCAAGGCTCTCTTTTAGTTTCCTTCAGGCACTTTCCCCTTCCCTCCCAGGGACATACACATACACATAAAGACATTTTGAGAAAAGAAAGGCCGTGTTGTTTCATATTGCATTTGCTTATTCCCTGACTGCTTTAGCATCCTCTAAATCTGGTTTGTGCTTCACAAAATCCAGGCAGCTCTCCCGTATGCTCCACGCCACATGTCCTGGAAAAGTGTGGCACTTTTTCCTAATTGAAATTACCTATGCTAGTCACAAGATGTTTAAATCTGGTATATAAAGAGATAGTCAAACTGTTTTGATCGAAGAAATGTTATGGTTCAGAATCCAGGAATGATAAGTAACATGTTTCATGTTGTATATAGAGAGTTGGGCTGTAATAAGAGGGAGAGTAAAGCCTTTCTAAGAACGGCAACGGCAGTTAGAGATACATGGTAGTGCTGGTTCCTGGTTTCTGTTGTTTCTGAGATTAACATCACCTGCCCTTCTTTATACTCCTACATCGTTCCACATTTCCAGAAACGAACGACTGATGACGTTTTGACCTAAACGTCATGCCAGCAGGTTTTGACTCTTTGCAACCAAGCGAAGATCAGACAACTAAGTATAGGCAGCACTTTATGCTGTGTGTTTGTGCCGGGGGGGGGGGCTGGTTTTGTTTTCTTTATTTTGTTTCTGAGACAGGGTGTCCCTGTAGCCCCAACTGGCCTGGAATTTGCTGTTGATGAGACAGACTGGCCTCCATCTCAGAGATCTGCCTGCTTCTGCCTCCTGAGCAAGGGTAAAGGCATGCGCCACCACACAGGTATTTATGCTGCAGTTTTTTACTGCAGGAACTTGATAGATGTAGTGTCCTTATTTTTTAGTTTTTCATCAGGCATTCAACCTAAGCCTGCTCTCCAAATCACACAAGACTTTTAAAGCATGCTTACACTCAAAATATAACAGGATTGACTTTATCACAGAATCAAATGGAATTTGAGCATCTCTAAAAGTGTTTTAAAAACAAGACAAAGCAAGAATTTCAGTAGAAATACTCTTGAAAACTGTGTGTGTGTTTGTGTGTGTGCGTTTTCTTGAAGAATCAAACAGTAGCATGTGGTATGTTGTGTGACAAAATATATATAACACTGCTTCTGACTAAAAATGAAATATGTTCTAGAATTTTCATTGTGTCAAGAGAAAATAGATGATAAACTTTGTCAGTGTTATTTATTACCATATTATTAATGTCAAGACTACCCATGATTTTTTGCTTGCCAATATTGTGATTTGGCAATTCCTGGCCTCCAGAATTATGACAAAAATTTCTATTCCTTCAAAGTACTTCAGTCTTGGGCTTTCTGTCTTAGCAATGAAAATTGGATTAAGACAATTATGTACACAACTTAAACTCAGAGTGTTTCAAATTGCATCTGTACATCACTCATTTGCACTGGACATTGATGCTTTAGAGAGTCAAGAGTTCTGAATCCAAATTGTTCCCAGTGGTCAAGTTGTGCTATTTAGCCAATCTATGAGTCCATCCTCAAAAATTAGATTTATAATGAAATAGGGCTTTGGAGGGTAGTAGATTAGCAAAGATGGTGACCTTCTGACAGAGAATACTGCCAAGCAGCAGCTCCAGCCTCTGCCGTTAGTCAAGGGGCCTTCTTGCAGGTCTTAGCAAATGAGCAGACAGATTCTTCAGCAGTGACCATCAAAGATCTCTGTTAAGTGCCACTGCCATAAGTTCAGCAGTCCCTCTGAAGTGCTCTGAAGGCAAGAATTGGGTAAACTGCACAAAATTAGTGTGTGAAGCCTGGTATGGTGGCTTAGGCCTCCAATTCAGTCACTTGGAAGACTGAGACAAGAGGATCAAGAGTTCAAGGCCAACCTCAGCTACACAGCAAAGTCAAGGCCACTTTCTACTACATGAGACACTAGCACAAAAAAATAGGAACAAACAAAAAATTATTGTATGAGGGTTTGAGAAATTTACGCATGAGCTTAAACTCTCTAGCCTGCCTGGCACCCAATATCGCCTCTAAGAACCACCTGAGAACTGCTTTCCTGAAGTAGAAAAATGCTGCTCAGAAGAAATAAAGGGAGACTTGGGCGACGGAAGTGATTTTCAATTGAACCAGACAAAAATTATACAATATTGTTCTACATGGACCTAAATTGCGTATATTGTCTCTTTATAATGATGTACATTGAGATCATCACCCTAGTCAAAACCAGGGGATTTCTTAAATTATTTGAGTGAGTGATGTTTCCTGCTGGCCTGGCTTTCCTTCCTGGCCCTCTGGCATATATGGCTCAGCAGCAGAACGTGCTCCTTTGCCTCCTCTTCCCTTGCTCTGTCATCCTTTTCATTGTTTATTTCCTTTCACCTTTGAGTCCCAAGGGGAAATCATCTCTTTCCACAGTTGCATGTGTTTTTCCATATCTCTTCCCTTTTAGATGTGGATCTTTAAATCACTTTGAAACAGGAAATGTCTCACTCCCTGCTGAAGGCCATTTCCCTCATTGTGTAAAAGTGTTGGCTCATCACTTAAAGGCAATTTTCTGTGAAAATCCTTTGAAACACATAACTCCAAACACTGAGGAAAGATGAACTGAAGAACTAAGGAAGGGAGTGGCTGGAATGTGAGATATTTCTATTCTCCACACTGTGGCTGTCTGCTTATCTAACAGAAAACCTGCTTAGGATATTAGTTACAAAACAAATATCATAGGAACTAAGGAGGGGATTTCTGAAAATGTTTCCTTTTTGAAAGGGGGATCAAGCAAGGAGGAAGAGAAATCCGAAAATAAAATTTGTATTAACAATGTGAACAGAAAAATGCATGCACATTAAAATATAATTAGCTCCGACTGAGAAAGAAAGATAACTGAGTGATTTAGAAAGCCCAACTACACGTGAAATGTGTGTTCTTTGTGATATTGAAACCACTTTCTTTTCATTCATTTTTAAGTTGCATCTAAAATCCTGGATTTCAGCATGACATTTTCATATATGCACATCATTGTGCCTTGTTCATGTTCCACCCTCACTGTCCTGTCTTGTTCTCTGCCAACATATTTAAATCTAGAGTCCACATAGCAGAGAAAATACGAATCCATATTAATTAGCGTTTAAATGTCTCAGTTATTTCCTTTTTACCTCATATTTTTCAAAGCTAAAAGAAGACTGACCTGCATCGTTGAGTATTCTTAAATGTATATTCTAAGGATGTGTTTATCTAAAACTCTGAGTGCTTCATACACATGTTTTAAATGGTAAACTCAGAATATGTGGACAGCTGCAGGTGTGTGCATACCAAATGTCACAGAAATTTGAATGTGGAAGTTTGCATGATTCCCATTAGCCTAGAGATACATCTACATTGACTATTTATTAGATGTGTTTGTGTTCTGTATTTCAGGACTGATTTATATGATGAAGAGAGACCATGTTTTTTGGACTTCTATGTGCCTACTGCTTAGTGTTGCCTTTGAGCCTCTTCATGCTGCGTCTGAGGAAGAGGAAGATGCAAATATTACAGGTAATGTGCTGCAAAGATTGGTCTAGTTTTCTCTAGTCAAAACTCTCAACTTCATATAAAATTTGTATTTTTATTATGTATGTAAGCATTTTTTTAACCAAAGTACAATGTTTATCTTAAGAAAAATCTGTAAGATGACCTGTATCTAATAGGTTAGTTTTGAGACTCTGTCCGAAGTCATGTTTTAGCAATAACAACATCTTGTCTAAGATAATAAACCCAGGACTAGCTCTGGGATATTGCAAGAAACAAGTGCAAAAGGAAATTCTCTATGGCCAAATTCACCTTCCAGCTAGGAAAAGCATGAAAAGGAGAGAAAGAGCCAGGTGTAGGAACCTTCAGCCATCCCCTCCTTGCCAGTGTTTTCAAAATAAGAATTTCTGAGAGGAAACTTATGTAGGTATCTAATGGAAAAGGAAATCAAATAATCTAGCAATGTGAGTTCCAGTCCTATAAACTGTGTCCAAAAGAAAATTGTTAAAATAATGAAAATTAAGAAAATACTGTGTAGTGATAATTATAGATTTCTACTTTTCCCCAAAGTAACATGTCGTACAAAATTATTGCTAGAACTCAAATTATTAGCAATAAAACTTATTAACAATGTGATAACTTCTAGTATTTATTTACTAGTTTAAACATGAAATAAATTCCCAGAAATATCATCTCATTTCACATATTTAATTGCTCTTTAAAGTGATTTTTTCCAATGCATTTTTCTTTAACAAAAGTTGGATAAAGTTTTTAAAAAGTTGAAAATAAGGATGGTGAGACAGAACAAGGATGACTGGAGGCAGGTTTTAAGGATTTCACAGCTTCATAGAGGATTTCAATGAGTGATTGAAGGACAGAGGGATGCATAGATGGTGTTGCTAAAACAAAGGAAAGGGAGACTTGTCCAAATAATCTGAGATCTTGGCATGAGAAAACAGTGTCACAAAATTTCCTGGCAATGGGTCATTCTTAAAAATATTTTATTATTTTTATTTTATGTGTACGAGTGTATTGCCTGCATGTATGTGAGTGCACCTGTGTCGTGCAGTGCCACAGAGGTCAGAAGAGGGTGTCAGATTCCCCTGGAGTTCAACTGGAGTTAAGGATGGTTCATAGCCACCATGTGGGTGTTGGGAATCAAACCTGAGTCCTCTGCAAGAGCACTCAGTGTTCTTAACCACTGAGCCATCTCTCCAGCCCCAATGGATCATTTTTTTTAAACAAAGTGAAAATAAAATGTTCCATTTGAGAACAAGTGAGTTTTAGTTCTTTCTTGGGTTCAAAAGGGGATGAACTAAAACAATACTATTTTGAAGGATATGGATGTAAAAAACGTGGAAGAAAACATCAAAGTAAACGTAGGCAATTTAATCTTGGGAAGAGTTAGGTAAGTGGATCCAAGAGTTCCTAGTATCTTCCTAATTCAGTCTTCCTCTACTAGCTCAGAAACAGTGGGTTCTGGATGCTGTTGCTGCTGCCAGAGGCATTAAGAAGCCAGATGTAATTCCAGAAAAAATAAAAAAAGCCTAAAATCACAAATGGCATGAAACTTGCATGGAAAAAACAAGATCTTTGATTCGAGGATCTTGTTTGTTTGTTTAGGTGGTTGTAAGTTTTTTGTTTGTTTGAAGATCTCTGCTGAGTTTCCACTCTTTTGGCACAATCTTATCTAGTGATGTTTTTGTTTCCATTTAGTTGTGTTTATTCTTACACTACACAGTTCCCTCTTATCTCTAAATCAGCCTAATTTGGGAGATAGGGTTTTTCATGTGATGCGAAAAATATATACCATTTCATAGAAAGATAATGATTTATTTAAATAGAACATAATTTAGGAAAATATATAGACTTTAACTTCTCTCACAGTTAACAGTAGACTTTAAAAAAATCCATTCCAACCAGCAGGGGTGATGAGATAGAATCATTTGATAAGAAAAAAAAAAAGGTAATAACAGCATAAGTGATAATCTTTAAACCAATCCTTTGGGCCAGGGGAGAAGATTGAAGGACAATTTAAAGGAAGGTTGATACATTTCATAAGGTTACCAATGTGGCATGCTAAGTTTGAAGATGTGGTTTGTTATTCCATACCTTTTTGGAATTAAGTTATTTAAATTCTCTAACTGCTAACATCCTAAAATATAAATAAGTAGTGTAAATAACTAACTACTTCAGTATAGCTGTTACATAAACTACATGAAGACATCTGCTACTTTTTCCTATATCTTCCTTTCTAGAGGAATCTATTCCTTTAGTCAGAGAGGAAAGAAATATATGAATCCTGAGACAGTAGGTTACCTGAACCCCATAGATTCATAATTTGTAGGAGAGTAGTAGTCTAATAGTCAAGGCATGGCAATGACTTCAACCACCCCATATTCTGCTAAGCCTTTTGTCTGATATCCCAGGACATAGGAATGGGCAGCCAAGATTGTCATCCTCAGAGTAGGAGACACAAAATATATGAAATAAATGGTAAAGATGAATAAATATAAATTATAATTATATTTACCTTGTTGCATTATATTAAATTCCTGCTATATTAGTCTACAAATTTTCTACTTTCATGAATGCAGGGGGATAGTCCTTATCTCTATAGACAGTTTCCTCAATTCCAAGTCTAAGAAAGTATTTTTCTCTTCTTGGGAGCTGGAGAGATGGCTTGGTGATTAAGAACACTAGTTGTTCTTGCAGAAGACCTGGGTTCGGATCCCAGCACCCACATGGTAGCTCACAACTGTCCGTAACTCCAGTTCCAGGGGATCTGATGGGCTCTTTAGTCTTCCATGGGCATTGTACGACATGGGTGCACTTATCTACATGCAGGCAATACATGCATACACATAAAATAAAATAATAAATAAAATATTTTTTTCAAAAGGAAATATCGTTCTTGATCTTGATCTCTATTAGTTATTCTGCTGTGCACTCGAGAAGCACCATGAACTCCTGAAATAAGCTCCTCAGTAAATCTTAATTATAACATGCTCCATGAATGGGGGCCCACCATTCATTTATAGTTATATCTGCAACAACAGCCCTGTGCCTGATAAATATGTGCTGAGTACAAAATTTCAATATTCAAAAAGATTATCCAAGTAATAAATGAAAACAAAATCAAGCATCCATTTCCTTCGAGTCAAGTGGATGAATGTCAGAAAGCACCAGAACACCCTTCCCTTTCAGGGATGACTTGTTCAAGTGTAATAAGCTCAGTGCATAGGATACACTGATATGCAGTTTGTATAAGAAGTTCATTAAAACAGAAACCATAAAGACCAATCAAATATTGGCAAAATATAGGCAATAAAAATTGATGGTGTTTTTTTTTTTATGCAACTACCATGAAATCAGTTGAAATAATGTCCAGCTTTACAAAGTAAATTTACAGAAAGAATGTTGTTGAGTGGAAATTATGTTATTAAATCTACTTAATCAGATGCCATTTTAGGTATCTCAGCCATACAGGTTTATTACAATACTCTCAAACTAAGATTGTGCAATGTCTTCTGTAAAAATAGTTTTATCTTTTTTATCATTTAATTATGTAAATTTGTGCAATTTAGATTCTGTAGTGTTTTGCTATAAGATGTAGATAATGCCTATACCACAAATACATGACCATTAGATGATATTATAACAAAGTTCTAGGAAGTTGTAATTAGTAAAATTAGCTACTGTTTTCACTACTAGAACATAGACAATTTAAAAAAAAAAAAAAAAAAAAAAACTCTTTGCTTTTGTGGTGCATTCTCACCCCCTTGTGACAAGTTGTCAAATAGCAGGCTGCACTTGGATAGGGTGTTTACTGAATACAGAAGATGCAAGAGATTTGAGCTACTGGTCCAATATATTAAGTAAAACATTACGAATCATCAGTAAACAGTGGTCTTATATAAATTACTGACATGAATTTCTTATATAAATATTAGACATGGATTTCCTAAACATATTTGGTTACTCAGGTATGAGGTGGCTTCCTATGTTCTCTGGGTGTAAATCTGTACAAAAGATGTCTGTCTAAAATATTAATAGCTATTTGGAGATTGAAATGTTATAAAGTAACATTAATTTGGGACTGAAGATCATCATATTTTAAGTGTTACAAGAATTTTACAGCTAATGGCTTAAAGTGTAAGATTCCATATACCAGCATATATTTATTTCTGACTCATTTATTAGAATTATTTAAGTGGAGTCTGAGGTCTGATTCAGAGATCATATACTTATAGGAGTGAAATATCAAAGTTTTATCAATCTCTCGAAGTGTGTCCAGAGCCTAGACACTCATCATGTGAGCTCTGTTATACTAACAGTTTGCATCCTTATGTCAGAGACACTAGTGTCTTTATGTAGAATTCTAGATTCTTACAAATTACTCAAATTATCAGTTTTTCTTAACACAGAGAACACGAACAGAATTTATAATATTCATAAATGCACTATTCAGAAAAAGTATTTAGAGATTTTGAAATAAATTTGATATTTCCAACTTCAGTGATAAAAGAAGTGATTTTCACAACTTATTTTAATACATATGAGTATTTATCTATGGAATATGTTTTAGGCAACTTTCTAGATGCCAGCTTATTTATGTCACAAATGTATATAGAAAAACTACTTGTGCATATAATTTAACAAAAAAAACCTTTGAAGAAATTGTAAAATATATAAGGAAAATGATATTTTAAATCTTTGCAGGAGCCATCTTGATAGGTAAGTGACAGAAACATTCATTAAGTCTGAAAGACCATTTTATAAAGTCAACGATATTTTAAACAAATCAAATGTAAAAATTAAAAATGAGAAAAATGATATTAAAAATATACATATTAATCCAAATTAACATAAATGTTGTTTTATATATATATTACAGTACATATACGATGTAGAATTAGGGGCTTTGTTATTGCCAAAAATGTTTTATCTCTATAAGTAAACACAAAACATATATCTTGCCAACCCAATATAATCTCAAAAAGTTAGAAACATATATGTTACATTATACTGGATTTATTCATGAGACTAACATTACTGAGATATGGCTCATAAATATT